TTGGGAGTCGTCGACGTATATGACGACTCTGAGAATGTTTTGATGGTGGCAGCGCCCAGAGGAGGCGCTGGCCAAGTTGGTAACTTAGGTCCACAAGCGCGAAACTTAGTTCCGCAGACAGCGGCAGCTGTCACGAGCACTGGTAATAGTGTGTTCAGGGTGGGTAACAGAGTTCCACACACGCTCACCCAGACCTTAACGGAAAAGGAAGACGTCGGGTACGTTTCCTGTGTGGGTAACATAGAGCCACACGCGGTCGCCCAGACCTTAACTGAAGAGGAAGGCGTCGAGCACGCTTCCTGTGTGGATACCACAGTACCGCACGAGGCCACGGGTGCCTCGGATGTCGGAGCTCCACGTCACGGTCGCCATCGTCAACGACGTCGCATCAAGCGACTCGGAGTCCAGGACCGGACTACTCTGATAAGGCCGGTGGAAGAGTGCTATCACATCTTCGATGGCGAGACCGGTTTACCCGTCAAGGCATCTGGCATCCACTTGAAACCGTTGCCAAAGGCTGCAAAGACACTGAATCTTGAGCAAATGACGATCGAGTCGTTCCTGGCCAACCCCAAGGCTGGGGAGATTGACGAGATGGTGCTCATAAGACCAGAGGCCACTCGGGACGAGTTGAACTCCTGCTCTATCCTGGACGAGGTCGTCCTGGAAGAGCTGAGCAAGCAGCGCCAGACGCGCTTGGGTTCCGAGATCCTTAAGAACCCCAAGGATCCGGTGTATCCTTTGGTGACGGAGTATGCAGACGTGGTGAGCAAACACCCACCGACCCAACTCCCACCGGATCGAGACGTACGGCATGAGATCGATCTCGTGCCTGGCACAAAGTACTGTGTCACAAGACAATGGCCTCTCCCACGCGAACAGTGCGAGGTCATTGATGCCTTCTTCGCCGCGAAAGCGAAGGCAGGCATGGTGCGGAAGTCGGAATCCCCGCACTCGACGCCGACTTTCTGCGTTCGACATCCGAACGGGATGTGGCGTCTGGTTCACGCTTATAACAAGCTGAACAACGCAACGGTGCCGGCCCAGACACCAATCCCACGAAAGAATGTGTTGCTAAACAACATGGCCGGGAGCGTACTGTACAGTGCGCTGGATTTGGTAGACGGATACTACCGGATCCTGATGAGAGAGAGACATCCCGCTCACCGCGGTGGGCACTCCAAGCGGTATGCATTGGGAGTGGCGGCAGGGCTTGTCTAACGCGCCGACATGTACAAGTGGGTCGCCCGATACGTTAAGACATGTGAAACATGTCAGCGGGTCAAACCCGCACGGCACGCTTCACCTCCGCTACAGAGCCTGCCCGTACCGGCTGACCGTTGGAAGTCGATGAGTCTGGACTTCATCTTTGGGCTTCCCGCCGACGGACACGGCAACACCGCATTTGGAGTTCGTGTGTTGGCTGAGCAAGATGGTACATCTTGCTCCGGTTTCCGTCACTGTTACGGGCGAACAATCCGCAGGGTTGTTCGTCGATGGCGTGTTCCGCTATCACGGTCTCTCGGAGACGATTGTCTCGGACAGAGACCCACGTTCGACGGCCGCGTTTTGGGAAATGCTGTTTCCTTTACTGGGAACTCGTCTGCAGATGTCCACTGCGGACCTTCCCCAGACACACGGCCAGACTGAGCGCGTCAATCGAGTGCTCGAGGACACTCTGCGCAGTGTGTGCGCGGAGGCCCCACGTACATGGTCGACGCAGCTTCCAGTTGTTGAGTTTGCGCTCAACAACGCGCTGCACTCGTCGAAGGGGTTCACGCCGTTCTACTTGAACGGCTTCCGTCACCCCAGAGTGCCTCTCACTCTTCGAGGAGACACTGACTCCTCTATGCTAAGCAGGGGAGAGGCTCGGAAACTCTTTCCTCCCAAGTCTCAGATGGGAGACCAGTTTCGCTGCGGAAACAAGTGGAATTATTTGTGGATACCAAGCTGATCATTATCAGCAGGGTCCGCCATGCCATGCCAGCGGCCCAGGACAGACAAAAAGGATTACTCAGACAAACATGGAAGAGGAAACTTAAGTGTATTTAAAGTGGGGAGCTTAGTGCTACTAGACACGAGGATCCTACCTCTTGACACTGTCAGCGCTGTCGGCAGCAACAAGCCGAAGCACCGCATTATCGGACCATTTGCAGTCCTGACCAGACATGGTGCGTCGTACACGATCGACCTGCCTAAGACAATGACGGCGCACCCGACGTTCTATGTTGGACGTCTTAAGCGGTTCTTTGACCCGCAAGGGTTGCTAACTCGCAGACCCACCTTGACCCAGCTCCTCGAAGCGAGGGTCGGTCACAGACGTCGACGAGGGCGTCGGAGCAGGCACCCAAGCCTCGGTCGGAACGGCAAGGCTGCAGTCAAGACTGTACACCGGAGGGGCTCCGTACGAACGGACCCCGGAGACATACGCCGAGTACGCTGAGTACGCCGGGTACGCACCATACGCGTACGTCTGGGAGTGCGTCGAAGGCGGCTCCGGACGTGGCAACAGAGCCTCGATCCGTCGAATCATGCGAAAGGCCTCGTCCAGATCGAACGAAGAGGCCCGGCGATCCACCCGCAGATGCAAGCTCGCGACCTCTCGCTCCAACAGGTCCAGGCGGCCCGCAAGACGAGCGAGCTCGCCCTGATTCCCGGCCTGGGCGGCAGCATCACCGCCAGTCCCAAGGCCAAGTGCAATCTCAAGCACGAGGACACGTTGACGGAGGCGGCCAGCCTCAGGGCCCTGTGTCGGACCCGCAGCCGGAGCACTCGGACGAGAGTGGCGTTCGGGAGGCGCCGAGTACTCGTACTAGTACGAGGGCGCCTCTGCTCCTCCTTGATCGGAATAGAAAAGTCCACTTCCACGTGGAGAGGAGCAAAGGCGTCACGGTAAGCGACAGCTCCTCGTGAAGTGGAGGGATTCTGCCCTTTCAAGAACACGTGGGAGCCGATTGAACGGCTTCTGATTGACTGCCCGAAGGCTGTCGCAAACTGGGAACAGAAGATACGGCAGCTTCATAAGTAGTCCGAGGCTTCTTGCCCGAACGGGGTACGGATGTTGACGACACTCCGTACCCGCGCCCATCGTGAGCGCTGGAAGCCGCATGCTTCAGAATGTTCCTTGGCAACATGCCCTGGCTGACCATGTGGGCAAACCGGACACGAAGATCACGCTGGTCCAGGATGCAGGAGAGCAGCTGATCTTCATCGAGTTCCCGAAACGCCGCGGGTGAGTACTTGAAAGACTCCACCCAAGCCCAGAACATGTCCACATAAGAACTTCAGTTGGAACAGTTCTCAGGAAGGACCCAGGGGTAGCCCCAGAGAGGGTAGAGACCACCCCGGTTCTCGGGCTTCTTGCGACAAGTCGTAAAGTCCTTAAGAGGTACACGATGTGGCGAGATAAGCACACACCGAGCCGCCTCCAAGTTATCGACAAACAACAGCTCCTTCTTGACCAGGGTACGTTCGTAAACGCCCCTAGAGGTGTGGCCACCAACAAGGCCACGATCAGCGACGAGAAGCTCCAGGAAGAGGTCACCCCCAGAGCTCTCCTCGGGAGCCCAATACCCTGTTGAGTTGATGGCAGCTCCCTGGCTGACGGGTGTCACCACCGGACCCCCACGTACAGGCTAGGCAGCTTGGAAGTCCTCCTGCTGCTGGTCGAGGTCGTTAGTGATCTCCCAGGGCTCAGGAATAGCGCCCTCTTCCTCCCGGTCGGCGTCCCCTTCATCCGAGGAACCGAAGAGACTCCGATGGGAGTACCCAGTCTCCTTCTCCTCGCAAAGAGGAGCCTTCGAAGCCGTACGCTTCTTAGAGGACTTGGCGCCTTCGGCTTTCGCGGCCTTAGCACGCGCGAGACCCTGGGAGAGCCCTTAGCCTTGACGGCCGGACTCTCAGAGTGCACAGACGTCCTGGGACTGTGATCACCATGATCACTAGCGAGTGACTGCACGCTGTCCTCCTTGTGCTCGCTGAGCACTGGGCTGTGCCCTCCCGTAGATCTCACAGGAGCATCGTGCGTGCTCTCGGACTCGGCTTCGTCCCACACTGCCATAGTCGAACTCATGTTTCACGAACCGAGGGTTCGGACGATTGTCTGAGGCAGAGGGCGACGAGCTGCGACGCTTACTTGCTCGCTTGCCCACAGCCGCGTCACCCGAGAAGTCGATCGACTCGGAGGCCACCTGAGTAGCCTCTTTAAGTGCCGAGCCTTTGCCGTGAGGCTTAGTGCTCTTGGCTTGCACCTTACCGACAGCAGCCTTGGAGCGTGTCTTAGCACCGCTCTTTGCAGCTCAACGAGGCATTTTTGAAGCATTGCGGTTACTTCACTAGTGGTTTCACGTGTTAGGTCCATCCCCCGAAATTGCCTCTCCGATTCCGTCAATCGTGATGCTGTATTGACTAGGAACGCTAACAATTCGGCATACCGTGATGGTTCAGCTTGTTCGAGGATGAGATATATTGCACACTTGAGCTTGTGAGGTATTGTAAACCCGTCAGGCACTGCCTAAGTTCTCCCACATCTCCATTCCAGGCTGCTTGAACCCATGGATCTCCAGATACTTTCGACTTTTTGTTTACCGTCTGTGTCAGTGGTTCTGGCGGGTGCTCTGTCTGGGTGGGCATTCTTACTCGGTTCTTTCCCTAACTACCCCTATTGTGGATAAATGCGGAGTAGTGCTTCCCTCAGAAGCGACGTATAAGGGGTTAAGCGTTTTCCTGAAGCCTGGAAGACCTGGGTAAGGAGGTGCATCTCCCAAGCTGAAGAGGTATTTGTTGTCCAATTTCATACGTTCTGCTTTTCTCATAGTACTTTATTCGGACGGTACATTGTGCAGTACCATTGCTTTTTTATCCCTATCGTAGGCTAGGACAAAAAATTATGTTTGAAGATAATTTGCTGCCATAGCTCGTGCTTCACTGCAGCCCCAATTATAGCGCGGCACTATCGCCTCTCGCTGAGAGAGAGAGTCAGCGTACCCTTCTAGATACCACTAAAATTGCTTTAGTGATTTATGCGGTTCCATTGCATCCCAGCCCCGGTCAGCATTAACCAGTGTCGCCTTTCTGGTGTAGTGGTCGAACTGCTCACGCATGTGCAGCTGACCTGTCCACTTAATACCTTGCTTGAGACGGCTAGCTATGGCCTTCAGTCTGTCCTGATGCACTGCCAAATCACAATCCGTAAGTGCTTGTGCTAGAGCCATTGCCATGTAGTTGCCAGTTGCCGGAGTATTTTCCTCTTGCAGTTCTAGGCTGTGCTCAATGTCCTGAGCACTAGTGAGGGCTTGACCTACATAGACTGCTGGTTGCAGGATTTGTCCGATCTGTCCATGAACCTTTCGACCTTCCGACAAGAGGGCTTGCGCTCCTGCTGTTTAAGTCCCACTAGTTGCGGTGGTGTGCGGCGTTTAGGCGCCTTAGCTCCTACCATATGAAGCTTAGGCTTAGCGTCTGTGGTTATGGGGATCGGAGCCTTTTCTTCGAGTTCATCGTCTGTGTTAATTTCAATTGGCTTGTCTTTCGTCTCATTCGTGATCAGTTCTCCAGTTCCTTCATCTAGATCCTCAGTGTCATCTTTATCGAGTATGGCGTACTTTGACTGGTCAATGCTGAGCTTTTGCTGTAGGGATGCCGCATGCGCATACAGAGTCCTCCCGTTTCTGAGTGGCTTGGTGACCCATTTGACTTCGGTTCAGGCTGAACCTCCTTCTTTCTGTCTTTCTTATCATGGCTGTTCACTCATGCAGATGATTTCTTCACTTGTAGTAAGTTACGCTGCCTCCCTTTATTGTTATCTGCACTGTCTGGTGATAACGCTGCTTGGGCTGCACGAAATTTCGCCTGTTGAATCTCCAATCTCTTCGCTGCTGCTGATTTGACCTCCTCCACTGCGGTGAACGGTTTAGTCCGATCTTCCAGCTGCTCAACATCCTTGTCGTTGGCGTATCAAGTCGAGCTTGGTCATTACTAGGGATGAGGAGGTGGGTATCAGAATTGAGAGGCCTCCACCGTGCGTATATATCTATAATATGGTACCTACGCCAAGAGCATGAAGACGGTCTCGCTATATTAAGACTGTTATAGATACTATATTATCTGCCAATCGCTTCGTTTGTGGTCCTTGCTGATAAACCTCTCTCATATTGTGGTCCCTGGCGATAAACATCCCTACCGGGTCCTTTCAATTGGACGTCCATGTATCTGCATCATTCCATTGTATGCCCGATGTTGCCACATCGTAAGCAATGTAATCGACCTCGCACACTGGAGTGATTCAACAGCAATGGTCTTCCGAACCATATGGCCCTTACGCTACTCCTTAAAAAGTCAGGACACTCTGCTGTGTGTACGGTGAGACGCCAGACTACCGAAGGCCTTGATTTCGGCCGGCCGATGTCTAAGTCGTCCAGCTCGAACTTCGCCGATATGTTTTGCTGCAGGTAAGTCTCAATCCGCCCTATGTCAATGAACCTCGTGATATTGTAGACGTCTACTTGATATTGCCGCCGAGGTGATTTACGCGCTCCGTCCTGCGCCAATTGTCTCGTCCATACGGAACCCATATCTGGCCCACGGACGTTTGCGAGACGGTAGATACTTCTGTTGAATGGAATTTGTACGTTCTGACATTGACGAGCCGTGGCTCGGTCAAAGATAAGAAATGTAAACTCCGTTGAACATGATTGCAGCGGATCGCTTTTGCTAGATTGAGCATTTTGCGTAGGCCCGGCGTATTATTGTGCATCGCTTCTGCTGCCACACGTATGACTTCTTGAATAGCTTGGGTATGTTGACGGTGATCACGAATAATAGTTCTACCTTGTAGCTGCAACATGAGCTCTCCTTCGACCTGACTCTGAATAGTGCGGTGCAGACGCAGCCGTTCTTTAGAGTCGAGAATACGTTTTAAGAAGTCTGGCTTTCTTCGACAAACGATCGTTCCGTCCGCCATCCCCCCATAATTCGCCACTCATCTGGAGTTCCAGACCTGAGTTGACTGCATGTGGTAGCTGCCGCTGGCAGCTCACAAAGTTATCGAAGTCTCTCGATGTCTTGCCTATTCGCGATTTCCGGGTTAAACATGAAGTCCTGGTATGTTGCTACGTTTGACGTCGTTTCTGTATCCCGCACTTTGGACTGTTCTGTCGCTTTAACCTTTGCTGCCCATTGATTGAGTGGTTTGGTGTTAGCCCACTTTACCTTGCTGATCGTACCGCATATGATTGTCTTGAAAGTTTTTTCGTGTTGTACAGTTATTGTGTAGCTGCTAGTGCGTAGCGCTCCCAGTCCTCATACTACCCCGTCGTGAATACACATATTACACTAAACATCCTTAACAGTAAGGTCTTCTCTTCACCTTTCAACTTGGGGGTATCTCTGTTTTCCGGTTGGGATTAAGTCCTCGTCCAGTTTTGCTTTCCAATGAACGATGTTATACAACTCGTAGATCGTCATAATCCATGCCGTTCGTGGCGGTTCACCGTCGGCCTTCTTCATCTCTTCGACTACGGCGTCAAACATTTCTCTAGGCGCTACGTCCAGTGTTTCTCGCCTACGGTCAACTTGAATATCAGGCTGATGTCGTGCCTCTCGCTTGAGTGATTCTCCGTGGTAGAGCTTTATTCTCGTTGCTGACAAACTTCAAGTCACTTTCCCTTAATGTGTCTAATACAGCCTAAGCATTTTGCAGAAACGTAACTAATACAGCGTCTCTAGCTGGGGGTTAAAGCAGAAACCCTCTAGATTCGGCAGCTCGCGTACCCCCTGCTGTGGTCGTTAGAGTTGCCCTCTAAAGTGGTCTCAGAACGCTGGTACCTGTTCGACGTGGGGCTAAGGTGCCTCACGCAATCGGGTTCTCTTTCTAGAGCTCCATGTAGTCCTACGAGGGCGGATGTCAGGAGAAGCGAACTCGTCCTTTGAGTGTAAAAGTAGCGGTGTTTTGTATGTGAGGAAGGGAAGGTGTTAGATCTCTCTTCCATTTAGCTCTCAGTCTTATATTTCCCACCTTCTACACAAGTGGAAGCCAAGTCAATAAAGAAACTTATATTTTTAAGGCTTCTTGCTTACCGTTCCGGCCGCTGAGCGAGACCGTACTCCCTGAACAGCCGCGGACTACCCGGCCCAAGGAGGTGGAGGTATACGACAACATTCGGCACTTCGTCCATCACCTTTGTCACCACACTTGTGCCATCACTTTCGAATCAGCAGCGCACCCAGCACAGCCCCGGCAGACCAGTACCAGCTGTCAGCGTTCGAAAGATCGAAGTGTACCCCGCCTCAGCTTAGAATCACTAGATTTTTGTAAAGCGATCTTCCCAACGGGCCTTGCAGCACGAAGGCCCAGAAGGACCCTGGGAAGGGCAAGCCGGCGGATTAGGCAGCGCGCATCCAGGAGTCAAGCTCTTCGTCCCTTAGCGTGTCTGGAATGACAGATAATTGGGAGGATGCAGGGTTAAGCCAAGCCTCCATAGTACCTGGAACGCAACAGTCAGATGACAAAATGGAGGACCCCGAGCACAACGCAACTATCAACTACGATCACCAGGAGTCCGAGAGCGACAAAGCTGGGAGGGGTGAAGAAGAAGTATGTCACGACGAAGAAGAACCAGGAGCTAAATACAATCTTCAAGTCAACGAGGGCTAGGTATGATCTCCCATTGCTCCCGTGAATCCGAGCATAGCATTGCAAGCCCCAATTTTACTATTTTCAAAGTATAAGAAGAGGCAGGGATTTGATGGTGCAGGACCTATCATTATTAAGGATAACAGGTTTGTTTTCACACAACTCATTTTAACCCCTTGAAACCGGTAGCTGTATAAGCTGCGTTACGATGTGTCGGCTATGTAACCGTTATGCTGTATATACAGCATAACGCCAGTAGACTTGATTTCTGTATAAGCCTATACAAACTTCAAAATTAAAATATCGTACAAGAGATGTGCATGTGAGCCCATCCTTTCAGGTTAGGTGGTTGAAGTACAGCTCATCATTTCTCGATTTTTGGACATAGATATTTGGAGGTTTAAAGCAATCATTTCGTACAACAATAGATTATCGTAGGTAACTTTCGCACCAATTCCCCTCTCCACTCAATTTAGAATTTCGCGGGCGAGTGGGAAGCAATGGTCAGCACGCGTGAAAGCGCCCCGATCACAGGAAACGATACTGTACCAGATACGGGGGTGGCAAGCGCGACATTCAAGGCCACATGGGAGACATTCGCCGCTGTTGGTTGGACGTCGAAGGCCCCACGCGGCATCGAGAGGCGGTGGAAGTACGTGAAACCCGGGAGAGATTCTAACGGGGCGGATGGAGTCGACTACTTGCTGGGGGAGCAGGGGTTGTGAACTACGCGCTTGACGGTACGACGGAAGTCTGGGTAAATCAGTATTTTATCTCGCACTAACGATCTTCTTGTACGAACAGTCGCGAGGCAGGAGACCGTGGCCGAACCTGCGAAGCCACCTGCAACCAAACCGCCGAACATAATCTCGAAGAAGCCGGAGACGCCAACTTTCAAGACGCCCAAGGCTCCTGCCTCCAAGTAGTCCACGCCGTCCAGTACTAAGGCTCCTGCCTCCAAGAAGTCCACGTAGTCCGCGTCGATAAAGTCATCCGCGATTAAGGCTCCTGCCTCCAAGAAGTCCACGCCGTCCGCGTCGACCTAGTCATCCGCGACTAAGGCTCCTGTCTCCAAGAAGTCCACGCCGTCCGCGTCGAACAAGTCGTCCGCGACTAAGGCACCTGCCTCCAGGAAGTCCACGCCGTCCGCGTCGACCAAGTCGCCCGCGTCCAAGTCGTCTGCGCCGTCCACGTCTAAGTCATGCAAGTCGTCCGCGATCAAGTCGTCCATGCCGGTCTCATCCAAGGCGTCCAAGTCGGGTACGTTGCTTTGCTTACATACGCATATTGCTAATACGTGCTCTAAATGATGTATATACTGTGTTGTTGGGATGTATATACAGCTGCCGAGTCCACCAACATGTCGTCCGCGCAGACAAGCAGTGCTACCCTGCTGGGGATATTTGAGCCAGCAGAGACTAACGGTAAGCGTGGTCTAGTGTGGTGTATATACATGAAACAACATTATTCCGAGCTTGTATTTTGCGCTGTACTGAAAGAAGCTGTGTTTGATTCTCACCAAAGCCAAGACGATATTGAATCGGGGCAACCAGGTATGTCCAAATCAAAGTTGTATATACGCGATATTCTTTCCAACTAACCTGTTTATGTATGACGTATATACGGTTTTAGACCGACGCTCAACATTGTCGACGACGACGGCAATATCAACACAGACCCCAACGGAAACAAGGGCTATCACGTGCTAGACTCTGGCAGCGAGTCCGAAGGAAATGATTTGAGTCAAATTGATGGAAGTAATTCCAACTCATCTGCTTCCGACGCTGCTGATAAAGAAGACGAGGAGCTGTACGATCAAGAAGGGCGGTTCTTCGCGGACAAGTTCATAAGCACGCTCGGAGGGCAAGAGCGAATTCTTGCTGGTGAAGTCGTCGGCCCCGCGTTGAAAGCGGTCTCGAAGACGGGATGGCATGATGTTGAAACCCCTGACGTCACCGGGTTTTTGGAAAACCCATACACGCCTGTCTCGGATGTTAACGAGTATCCTGGTTTGTGGAGCGGTCGTCACCGGCCCACCTAATCGGCGTTGAGACGCGGAGGATCCCCTCTTTCCCTCTTTTTCCTGTTCATGACGGTGGCGATTTGGCAACACATTGCGGAATGTAGCAACTTCTACATACATGAAAAACTGGATAACCGAGCTCGACGCGTATTTTGAGAGAAATGAAGAACGGGAACAGAAGAATAGGAGCTCCGGTTGACCCGTGTCAACTACGAAGACGAAGACCCGGCGAGACATCCGATAACAATTTCTATCGGTGAAGCTAATAATGCCACACGAGCTGTGCATCTACATTAAACTATTGATAGCGGGCACCGTGTCACCAAATCGTGATAAGCTCGACAATTACTGGCGCGGGGATGATTTTGGAGCAATCGCTCGTGGTATTTTCGGACGCTTCCTCCCCCGTGATCGCTTTATAGAAATCACCCTATACCTCCATTTCAACAGCAATCAAGTTTTGCAGCAGACGTTTGTACGTGCGTTTATCCCCCCCCGCTGATCTGGCTTTTGATGAAGCGATGCTTCCGTGTCGGTCGTCTTACAATCGCACCCGCGTGTATATGAAAGGTAAGCCCCACAAATGGGGCACCAAGATATTTATGCTTTGCCGTGCACACTCTGCTTATTGCATTCGGTACGGAGGTAAACATGTTTTGCTGTATTAGCTGGGCCACTTATGCCGTATATTCATGCCGTGATGTACAACTTTGAAGTCTACTGCGGTAAGAAGCAGCATAATGCTGAGAACGGCGCGGTCGACATGCAGTCAGGTCCTGCCGCTGTTGTGTGTAACATGCGAGCCGTTTTTGGTAAAACGCATTCAAATTATGGGTCAATTCGACTCGTGGTGGTTGATCGATTTTACACTTCGATCGTGTTAGCTGTGCAGCTGCTACTCATGGGTTTCTATACTATTGGCACTATCATGACTAACCGTCGGGGTTTCTACCAAGACGTAAAGACGAAGAAGAAGTCAAGGCC